ACATTTTAACTACATCTTTAAAAAGTCCACTGTTGTATAGAATAAAGTATAGATATTTATACCCTATTAGTGCAATAGTAAAGATGTGTAATTAATAAAATATACACATGTTGAAGGTGCTTTTTATAGGAATGGGTAATCAAAATATTGTAAACCACTCCAAGTAATAGCTCTTTTTCCTACTTTCTCTTCCAACCTTCACTAGTTATTGGTGATATCCTCTGCAAATTACTTAATGTATGTCTCAGTTTCTTCACCTGTAAAATCGGAATAATAATTCGTGCCCTGTCTACCTCTTAGATGAAGCTCTGAAGAGAAAATGTTGGAAAACATTTGGAAATAGACACAGTACATACAAAATAGGCAGAAAAGCAAAAGAGAGTTTTTAATCATTTCTGATTTCAGATTAAGAAAAGCAAGAAAGACTTGTTTAAAGTGTTGTCTCATTTTTGCCTATACAAGATCTCTCTCACATATATGCAAGATGCTCCCAAGAGATTTAAAATACTCTAGGGCTCCCTGGGATTTTACAACAAGCTCACTAAAATCCTTGAGTTCCTCTTTCCTGGCTACTCCCTGAAAGGGCAACTCCACCTGAAATGTGATGAGTGATATTAAGTTGCAAGAATGTCCTCAACATTTCTCCTCTTCCGTCATCCTTCAATCACGGAGAAAAATGGATAAACAAATCTTCCATTTTGTTTCCCTCTTGCTTTGGGGACAGCAATTGAACCTGATCCTCCATAGAGCCAAGCATCAGAACAGATGATCTAAGGAAGAGAGGGTGGCCTGATAGAAGGAACCTCCAGGAGGTATCAGATGGACTGTTGAGTCACCCAGACCTGGGGTTCAGGCTCTGTCCTTGAGGTCTGTGAGTTTTGAGAGGCCTGTTCAACTTTCTGAGCTTCAGTTTCCTTCTTTGTCAACTTCGCAACTTTGTTGTGTGGATTAGAGTGGAGGGAATGTGAGAAAGTACCCTGCTAGTTCCTGGCATACAATAGGTGCACAATAATGGCTTAATGCTCTTTTGCCTTCTGTAGGTCCAGATTCAAGTCTTGATTTGGCTTCTGATGAGCCATGTGATCCCATCCACATCATTTCTCCTCTCTGGGTCTCTATCATATGATTCTAAGGCAGTGGTTCTCAACCTTCCTAATGCCGCGACCCTTTAATACAGTTCCTCATGTTGTGGTTACCTCTAACCATAAAATTATTTTCGTTGCTACTTCATAACTGTAATTTGGCTAGTTATGAATCTTAATGTAAATATCTGATATGCAGGATGTATTTTCATTGTTACAAATTGAACATAATTAAAGCATAGTGATTAATCACAAAAACAATATGTAATTATATATGTGTTTTCCGATGGTCTTAGGCGACCCCTGTGAAAGGGTCATTTGACCTCCAAAGGGGTCGCGACCCACAGGTTGAGAACCGCTGTTCTAAGGAGTCCCAGGCTTCAAAATCCCAGCACTGCTGGACAAGGTCTCATGGAGTCCAGGAAAACACATGTAGGCTTCCCCCAGGTTCTCTTCCCCACTTTAGTGTGGGATTACTGTCATAATTCCTAGATCACTTATATTTTTTAATATAAATTTTTATTGATTCCAGAAAAGAAGGGAGAAAGAAACATCAATGATGAGAGAGAATTATTGATTGGCTGCCTCCTGTAGGCCCCCTACTGGGAATTTAGCCCACAACCAGGGCATGTGCCCTGACCAGGAATTAAATCATGACCTTCTGGTTCATAGGTTGATGCTCAACCACTGAGCCACTCTGACCAGGCCTAGATCACTTATTTTTAAAAAAATAGCTGATGAAAACATTGGCCACCTGTTTTGCAAAGAAGCAAGAAGCTGCTTCTTTATATACTTAACACCATGTAGTGTGGGTTGTAATTATAGAATGAACAATGCAGAAATGTGGAATATGATAAACTCATTTTAGAAAATGAATGAAAGTATAGAAAGACACCTGCCTTTTCTGTTTGAACTCATGTCACTAAGCAATTGCTGTATTGCCAAGTTATTTTAAGCCAAAGTAGATACTGGAATTCAAGAGGAGATAAGACAAACTGATCTGAAGTCTATTTCCTAACTTTGTATAATGTCACTACACAAAAATAGGATATGCTTGCCTATCACCAGGAAAACCTGCTGGGATTTTTAAAAATAGTTACTTCAATTCTGAATTTTTAGATAGGAACTAAAAAGTTCTAAGCAAATATAGAACATTGGCATGAATATTAAAAATTGTGTGTCTATTTTAAGCTAGTGTTTTCTTTTTTCTTTGTTACAAAAGTAACATATTCTCAAGGTAGAGTAAAAAAAATTCTGAACATTAGATGTTTGCTATTTAGCTACTGAGAAATGTGTACTGTTCACATCGTTTTGGTGTGTTTCTTCCTAGTCACATACATATGTGCACCTGCATGCATGTTCAAACATGCACATTCACACACACAATCTATTTACTAACAACACTAGAGGCCCGGTGCACAAAAATTTGTGCACTGGGGGGGGGGGCGGGGGCCCCCACCCCGGCCTG